AGCGGGGTGAGCCAACCCCACACTAGCCGCTTTCCCCCAGCAGACGGGGGGGGGGGCGCCCCAGCCCCCCCCCCCCCCCCCCCAGCAGACCAGGGACACCTGGAGCAAAGCTGCGGGGGCGGGGTGCCGCGCCTCTGAGGCTTTGCCATAGCAAAGCCTTAGAGGCGCGGGACCCCTCCGTCTCCCCGGCTTTGCTCCGGGGGTCCCTGGTCTGCTGGAGACGGTCCCCAGCAGACCAGGGACACGGGGAGCAAAGCCGGGGAGGCGGACGAGTCCCGCGCCTCTGAGGCTTTGCCATAGCAAAGCCTTAGAGGCGCGGGACCCCTCCGTCTCCCCGGCTTTGCTCCGGGGGTCCCTGGTCTGCTGGAGACGGTCCCCAGCAGACCAGGGACACGGGGAGCAAAGCCGGGGAGGCGGACGAGTCCCGCGCCTCTGAGGCTTTGCCATAGCAAAGCCTTAGAGGCGCGGGACCCCTCCGTCTCCCCGGCTTTGCTCCGGGGGTCCCTGGTCTGCTGGAGACGGTCCCCAGCAGACCAGGGACACGGGGAGCAAAGCCGGGGAGGCGGACGAGTCCCGCGCCTCTGAGGCTTTGCCATAGCAAAGCCTTAGAGGCGCGGGACCCCTCCGTCTCCCCGGCTTTGCTCCGGGGGTCCCTGGTCTGCTGGAGACGGTCCCCAGCAGACCAGGGACACGGGGAGCAAAGCCGGGGAGGCGGACGAGTCCCGCGCCTCTGAGGCTTTGCCATAGCAAAGCCTTAGAGGCGCGGGACCCCTCCGTCTCCCCGGCTTTGCTCCGGGGGTCCCTGGTCTGCTGGAGACGGTCCCCAGCAGACCAGGGGCACCCGGAGCAGCTTTTCTCGCCCCGGAGGTCGAGGTGGCGGGACCGCTGCGCTCTGGGCGGTCCTGCTGCCTGCAAGCTCCGGGGCGAGAAAGGCCCGTTCGTAAGTGCGGATGCGACGTAAGTCGGATCCGCGTAACTCGGGGACTGCCTGTAATACACATTGGAAAACGTAATTCCAACTATACCTGCTAACTGATGTGGTCTAACTTAGCTGTTACTACTCAAGGAGGACATCTTGGAGTCATTGTGGATAGTTCTCAGACAAAAATAGCAAACAGAATGTTAGGCATGATTAGGAAAGAGATAATAAAAGACAGTATCATAATGCCCCAATATAAATCTAGGGCTCAGAGAAGAATTCCTGTAGATAACTTCATGGGGAATAGACCAATCAGTGGCTATTAGTTAAGATGGTCAGGGATGCAACCCTGGGTGTCCATAAGCCTGTGACTGCCAGAAGCTGGGACAGGAGGTGGGTTACTTGATTGTCTTCTCTGGGTCATTCCCTCTGGATTAGCTGGAACTGGCCACTGTCAGAAGAGAGGATACTGGGGTAGGTGGAATGTTGCTCTGACCCAGTATGGCTGTTCTTGTGTTCTTTTGACAAAGGTACTGAATTATTTTATATTTTGAGATAGAGAAATTAATACAACGAGGGGTCACCAAATGAAATTAATAGGTAGCAAGTTTAAAACAAAAGGAAGTTTTTCTTCCCACAATGCATGGTTAAACTCGTTGCCAGAGGAGGTTGTGAAGACCAAGACTTTAACAGGGTTCAAGAAAGAACTAGATAAATTCATGGAGGTTAGGTCCATCAATGGCTATTAGCCAGGATGGGTAGGAATGGTGTCCCTAGCCTCTGTCAGTCTGGGAATGGATGATAGGAGAGGGATCACTTGCTGATTGCCTATTCTGTTCACTCTCTCTGGGGCATCTGGCATTGGCCACTGTCGGCAGACAGGATACTGGGCTGGATGGACCTTTGGTCTGACCCAGTATGGCCGTTCTTATGTACATTTCAGAATATACAGAAGAAGAACAATTAAGCATGCATGCTTTTGGCCAGACTGCTGGCTCCATTTGGTTGTGTGTAGGATTTGTTTTTGTTTTCGGGAAGGGAAGAACCTGAAAATACTTTAGTTAAAACCAAATGTTCTTGTAAAGCGGTATAACACAATTGATCACATTATAATGATTTTCTTTTAAAAGCATTTCTGTCCTGTTGCCAGTACTGATACACATTTAGTGGTAGACAACAGTGAAACCACTTGTTTTATTACAGGGAAAGCTTTGCCTGCATACATCGGCTTTTGGGCCAACTTGTCATCTGTGTTTCTCTCCACCTGGAGTGCTTCATAAGGATGTTTCCGTTGGCTAGTCTGTTACCCTGTTGCCTGTCAGTTCATGTCACAAGATCTAATCTTACATGATCCATTCAGTTTCCTTGCAGTTCTAGATTTTTGTAATTCAGGGCTGTTCTAGACACTTGTAAGTGCATTGGGTTAGTCCTTTTTCTTTGCACTTGTATAGATTATGCATATGTAATTTAGGGATGTTAGTGGCTAGTCAAGTAGTCAACTACCTGATAAGCATATACTTATTGGGTAGTTGAGTCACTACTCAACACTAGTTGAGTTACTAGTTACTGGTAGTCAAGTCACTGCTCCGTCACTGTACTACCACTATCAGAGGCAGAAAGGGGGACAGCAGTAGCCTGTGCTGGGGGGAGCTTAAAAGCCGGTTTCCCCCAGCACCATCTACACGGAGGGAAGGGAGGAAGAGGTGCTGCGGGGGACTCATGCCAGGTCCCAGATTCTGTGCCTCTGCTTTTTAAATAGAGTAAGCTGCTCTTACTCCATTTAAAAAGCAGAGGCACAGCATCTGGGACTGGGCATAAGCTGGGCCAGCTGATTCCTGGCTCATGCCTGGTTCTCTGCTGTGCCTATGCTTTTTAAATGTATTAAGAGCTGGATGGCTCTTATTCTATTTAAAAGGCAGAGCCACACTGGGGGAGGGGTGGAGCTAACCCTGCTGTGTGATAGTGCTCATCCAAAGAATTAGGCTTAGTTGCGGTTCTTGCTGCCATCTTTGTCTGACTAGGTGTTTCCAATTGATAGCTATTTCTGTATTGATACATGGAGGGAGAATTGAAACAAAATTGCTCTGGCTATCCCAAGAAGGGGATCCAAATGATATCTGTTTCCTTTGTTTTAAGTTTCTCCTAAGGATGATTCTGTATTGACACTGGGTTGAGTTAAAATTCAGGCCATGTCCTCAAAAATTCATAGCACACAAGCTTTTTCATAAGGTGTTAATGTACACTGGTTTATTCTGGATATGAAGAAATACAATGTACTGTACTGTATTTGTTTGCATAAGTAAATCTGTTGCCTTGGTGCTATGTAACCTAGATTGTAAAATCTTTGGGGTAAAGAGTGAGGCTATTGACTGTCTGCAGAGCACCATGTAACTCTGTGGTATTGTATAAATAAAAATAGATTGATTAGATCCTCAAAGAAGGCAACAAAATGTTGGACAAGGAACCAAGTGCCACTGACACCAAAATGTATAGGTAACACAGTTTTGGATTATGCTTCCGTGTGAGCTGAGAGTCTTATCATAAAACACCAATACTCTTTCCATGTGTTTTGTATTTTAGTCATGATCTCACTGTGTAACTTCTATGTGAATTTAATCAAAGAAAGGAGATTGGCCAGCACGGGTAGAAAAGTCCAGAGCAATGGCAACTGTGAATTTAGCCACCATTGTGGAGTGTTGCATGCTTAAATGTATATTCACATCTTGTTTTTTTATCTGCTTTAGCTCAAGCCTGGGAGAACATGATGAGTGCCTCAAGCCAGAGTCCTAACCCTTCTCCTTTCCCTCCCTTGCAGCAAGCTCAGGCCTCAGGAGCCCTGAGCTCTCCACCTCCCACTGTGATGGTACCTGTGGGAGTTTTAAAGCACCCTGGAGCAGAAAGTAAGAAATTTCTTTCCTTCTTTCTTCTAAACACGCTGTGATTAAATGTTAATGTGAATTCCTCATAGCACATGCCTTTCAAACCTTGCAGCCAGTGTTCCCTCTAATTTTTTCTATCCATGGGTGGAATAAACTTTATGTGGCTAGGTCATGTGTGGATATGCACCACCAGTAGAAAGACAGCTGTGGGTGCTCTGCTAATCAGATGCGTGGCACCTAAATCTCTTGGGGTGGCCCTCAAACATCCAGCATATAGGGAGCACTGCTTGCAGCTAAGACCACTTGTCATGTTGTGAGTTAGGTCAAAGGGAAGGAGAAATGCGGACAGGAACTGTGTAAATGTAATTTCTAAACCCATGCTGATGATTGTACCTAATCATGCTGGCTGATATTTCTCTAAAATACTCAATGTGCAGGAATTGTATCAGAGAGCCCTATGTATACCATCAAGTGGGTTTTTTTCTTGTATTGATTAAGGAGTTATGTCGTCTTTTCTTAGTCTAGAGAATCTTACACAGATACCATCTTACTGCTTGTTCCTTCCATTTCTTCCATCGCCCACTGACCCTGGTGCCCTTCTGCCACCATTTGAATTTGTATTCACTGTTTGCCTAAGACTGTTAATATGGATTCGTTACAACACTATTGTCGCTGCATGAGACTTTCAAACTTACCACTTCACTTTTCTTAAATGAAGCTTCCATTTCATGTTGTTGTGAGATTTTGAACTCTGGTTTTCTCACTAGTGGTTCAACCCAGAGAGCAAAGACGGGTTTGGTTTGCTGATGGGATATTACCTAATGGAGAAGTTGCTGATGCAGCAAAACTGACAGTGGCTGGGACAACTCCTACAGGAACCCTAGCAGTGTCGCATGATCCAACCAAACCTGTGACCAACAGCACTTTAGCAGTAGAGGTGAGCAAACATTGTGCTGTTTATTGTTTACTTGTGGAGTTGGTCCTGGAGCAGGCATGTCAAACTTGAAGCCTACCGAGGGGCGCCACAAACGAAAACGGATAGCTTTCAGGGCCATAGGGCCACCCAGATGGTTTGATCAAAAAATTTGTCAGCGAGGAAAAAAAACAAAACCACAGCATTTTAGGTGTCAGGCAGAAGGCACCAATATGGGACATCTAGCAACCTAGGACCCTTGACAGAAAGTTGTAGTTATTTATTATTATAGATTATGTTTTAGGTATATTTTATAATATTACAATAATTTGATGTGTAAAATTATTTGCTCATAATACATAATTTTAAAATTAATTTTACATAATTTTTAATTTAATGCCTCCCTCACCCCCAGAGCCAGGCAATCCCAGCCCCTCCCCCAACCTAATGTCTCCCCCCTTCCCCAGAGCTAGGCCCTCCCCCCCCCAACCTAACACCTCCCCCAGAGCCAGGCACTCCCAGCTCTCCCTCAACCTAATACTTGAGTCCTGGAGTCGAAGTGCCGCCTGAGACTCAGGCAGCATGAGCACAGCAGCCAGCTGTGAGTGCTTGCTGGAGCGCCCAGCACAGAGCACCCAGACGGCTGTGAGCGCGTGCGCAGAGCAGCCCACCTGGCCTTGAGCAGTTGCTGTGGCGCATAGTGTCCTAGCCAACTGTGAGCAGGCACTCGGCCACGTGATCTGAGTGGCCACCGGGCCGCACTTCATTCTTTTATAAAAATGTTCTGGCGAGCCGCAAAAAATTTCAATAGGGCCACATGCAGCCCCCCAAATGCCAGTTTGACATGCCTGTCCCGAGGGTACATTCAGTTCTGTGGCAATTTAAATGAATCTGATACATGAGGTCTGTTGATTTAAGATTCTTTTTTAGTAATATGTATGGCTTATGTCCATGCTGATTTTGAGGCTTGCAGAATGCCGAAGCTGGCTGTGTATTTTGGAATGAGCCATTGCATAACAGCATATGCAGTTCAGCACAAGTTGAACCTCTAATCCAGCATTCTTTGGTCCAGCAACATCTGTGGTCGAGCACGATTTTAATTAGCAGGATGTCCACTTACCATGGGTATGGCCAAATTTCCCATGGTCTCATAAAGTTTTTTTACAGCCACTAGTCCTGGCTCTCAGTGTTTTGTGCTGTTACTTAACTAATTTATCACTAAATGTCTCAGAGCCCCATAAGCAGTGAAAGTGTTGGTAATGCTGCTAGATAACATTGACCTCCTGCAATCCAGCAAATTCTCTGGTTCGACACTGATCAGGTCAGCATCTCAGAGCTCTAATCCAGTATCAGACCCCTTACTGTGCATGTTGTTTTGTAGAGTTTGGGTATACAATCTGTATCTATGCATAAAGGCAGGGCTTAAATTCAGGTGGAGTTAGCTAGAGCAGCACTGCAGTAAATATTTTCAAACCCATGGGCAGAAGCCTGGTGTGATCATAGCTGCTTTGTTTCTGTTTTGTTTGTGCATGTGTTAATAGAGAAAGCAGTGCTGGATTTATCTAAATCAGTGTCATGTACCAATGGTTAACTTGTACCTCTGATAATTCTGTAGAGTGGATATATCTCTTTCATCTACATCTAGCAATCTAAGGGTGAGATGTGTAGTTCTGGGTGGTTGTTTTTTAATTCTGTCCCTTCTTACTGTTTGTTTTCTGTAGACTGATAACACTTCTGGATTCTCGGGAAGCATAACTCAGGTTGGCAGTCCAGTTGGCAGTGCGATAAACCTGATCCCTGAAGATGGTCTTCCTCCCATTCTGATCTCCACTGGAGTAAAAGGAGGTGAGAGCAATAGGGGTAACTAGGGAGCTATTTGTGGCATTTATGGGTGGCAATTCAATAATTCAGACTGCCATGTATAGATAGAAAGTGGGATCCTGGATATAGCCTTACAATATTTACAATGAATGCTAATGTATAGTTAACTGACTTGGCAGTAAATTGTGGCCATACTCTTTACAAGCATCTGTAGAAAACAATATTCTGACAGTGAAATTACTATTATAAGTAAAAACAAGCAAAAAAGAAAATTAGCCCTGAAGTATGTGCTAATTTCCTCATTAACCAGGCTGTGGGGAACATTCAGCACAGAGATACATTTTAATTAGCTATATAAATATTCATGTTTCCCTTTTCAATTTTCTTGGAACTTCTGCTTGGTTTAATGTATCCCAAAATGCATAATTCAATGACATCATAAATACCGTTGGTTGTGATGAGAAGTCTGATACTTGTGTACATCTTCCATGAACCAAGAAGTTCTTAGGAGAGGGTTAACATTTATTTCCGGCCTTAACTCACTTTTCGCTTTTGTTTTGTAGTTCCCCTTTAAAATTTGTGGTTACCTCAGCATATTTCTAATTTGACAATAAATAACTTTATCTAGGATAATGTTAAAAAACAAGCAAGTTTTTCAAAAACAATCTGCCCTATCCTGTCTTAACTATTTGTGAAGCTTCCTAATTATTGAATCTTTGTAAAAGAGAGAAACTAGTAACCTAGCTTTACTTAATTAAATTGCAGCGCACAAGCCAAATTTCACAAGTTCAGCAACGTCATGTGGATATCTTCAAGACATCATACTTTGTGTATGCTTGAATTAATTTAAATATCATTGTACCTGTTTTGACTAACATTTTAACCGCCAAGTGGGCATTTAAATCCCATTTAAAAATATTTCAGGTACACTTTTCGCATTAGTGAAATGAACTTTCTTTCTATTTGTTTATAGGTGGCCGAATAACAAACACCCTTCCAAATTTCTCTTATTTCTTTATAATGCCACATTGCAGTCATATAGGCAAGAGCACATATTACTTCAGCAGTTTGTGCATTTATATTTAAACACTCTGTTCATATGGCTTTAATCAAGAAAAATGTCTATAGTTTGAGTATCTTACTGGATTAATTTGAGACACAGAATTTGAACCTGCTCTCCAGTTTCTTGTTTTTGTGAAATGTGGTTTCATGTGATACTCATTCCTATGCTATTATACTATAGGTTGTAGCACTTAAACTGTAAATTCTCTGGGGCAGGAGGTTGTCGGTGACTGAAGCGTCGAGGTGCTACCACAATATAATTACCAAGTGTAAACTTTTTTGTTTAAGCATATCACATTGTAGTCTACATTAACACTTGTTTCTAAATGGAAGTCGAAAGTTTGACTTTTTTTAAAAGTTGTTTCTGCCATTGATAAAATTAGTTGATAAAATTAAGCCTAGAATTTTCAAAGGGACCTGTGGGAGTCAGGTACCCAAATCATTGACATTTGAAAATCCCTGCCCAAGAAGTAGCAGACCAAAATAAATTTTTAAAAGTCAGATAAAATAGTAGTGAATCAAACTTTATACATCAGAGTAATGTGATTGATTAGCTAATTATGTTGTTGAGTGTTACTGTCCAAATAAGCAATGTCTTCATGATTTCTTTCTTATAGACTATGCTGTAGAAGAAAGACCTTCCCAGATCTCTGTGATGCAGCAGCTGGAAGATGGCAGCCCTGACCCTCTTGTGTTTGTTTTAAATGCAAATTTACTGTCCATGGTTAAAATTGTGAATTGTAAGTTACTTTTTATTTAACCAGGGGGGTTCAAAAAGATTGTATACATACTACTGGCTGAAATCACAGCATTTGGTATTTACATGTGCCTGAAGCATCCTACATACCCATCTAACACAACAGGGCTTACTATTATTCGTTCACCCTCCTCTCTTTGACAGCACCTGACCTCTCAGATGATCTTGTCTAATTATGGTGTGAAGGTGTGAGTGGGAGGCTTTTACTGTCTTTTACCTCTGTTGGTCTCCACTTTCATTTCAAAATAAAAAGCAGGACATCTTTGTAGCAATACATTTTTAGGGTCACAAAATGTTCATATAAAACAGAAAAAAATGCACTTTTAAACAGTATGTAGTTTTTGCTACTTTCTGACTCTGACTCAACAGCAATATGTTCATGTTTTTTGGAATATGGCCTACATCTCACCTTCTCAAACCTCAGAGAAGTTTAGTGCCCCACTGGGACCATACTGTGCACCATCTGATTTGGCCATCCCCTGATATGATGATACACTCATCCACATTCAAACCCTATTTTGGAATGCAGACAGCTTTTGTAGAGATCTGCTCTGTGGTGTTCAGGCGATGAATGTATCTTAATAGGGCCTCTAAGCTTTGGTCTTCCTATGCTGCAGACCCAGAGCTTTTAAGAAGCTTTTTATACCACAATGTGTGTGTGAAAAAGTTGTCATAAATCCTTATGCATCATAGTAGCAAGTGCCAAAGATATGCAATATTAGTGAATTTTTTTTAAAATGTGCTGACATCTTATAATGAAATTTGGACATGGCAAAATATTGAGTGGAAATCTACTTTTTCCAGCCTGAGTCATGTTTTCCTCTCTGCAGATGTGAACAGGAAGTGCTGGTGTTTCACTACAAAGGGAATGCATGCAGTGGGGCAGTCAGAAATAGTGATTCTCCTGCAGTGTTTGCCTGATGAGAAGTGTTTGCCAAAGGACATCTTTAATCATTTTGTGCAACTTTATCGTGACGCGTTGGCAGGTGGGAATGAGCTCTATTTGAAATCTGTAGTAATTGACTTCAATGAATATAATTAACAGATTAGAAAATTGCTTTGAGAAAATAGAGACTTTATTTTTATTTAAACATAGAAAACTTAGTGATCAAAGCTGATAGTGGTCTGAGTTCACTTAAGTTATTAGCAGGATATTCACTAAGGGGAGTGAAATCTGAATATCTAAGCTCTAATTGGAGAAGAGAGTAGCATTGGTTTAGAAACAATTATAGTCAAGGGGAAGTGCTTTCCGTTTAAGCCCCTTTTGGCAGCTGTCTGTAAATATCAGAAAATTGTACTTGTTGGACAGAGTTTTGTCTTTATTCTTTTAGATGGCCTTCTAAGGTAAAATTCTTTTCAGCCCATACTAAAATCTTTGTGTGTGAAAATATGTAGGGGAGGGAAAGGGAGCTGCTTCTGGGCCATTCATACACATGAGAAAGGGTAAGGTGAGCAAAGGTCCTTCATATGCTATTATAACATTAGGACTGGAGTGGTCTCCATAAAATAGCTCAGCAATCTGTAAAGAGGGATACTTCCATGTATTTGTTCAGTGCCTGGTCTGGCTACTTATGCTAGGTACTATTCTCAGAATTTGGGGACGGGTAACATACATCTGAAGTTGGCAGTTTTACTTCTTACCTAGCACCTACCACAGTGGGCTCCAGACTAGGGCTCTTGGGCACTACATTAGTACAGATAATATATTTTCAGTTTGCAGTCAGGAATTTTTAACATTGAAACAAAATGCAAGAAATTGTTAATGAAGCATTGTAGTCATGGTAAATACACTAAAGTTAGGTAGCTAAAATTATTATTTCATATATTGTAAGTTGGCCTCATTATCCCATAAAAATTTGATTTAATAAACTAATTTTATGTCTATATGCAAGGCATGGATGAGTTGCAGTTGATCTAGAAATCATAACAGAATTTCCTGTCTTTGATAGGTGTAAAAATCTCCTCCATAAAGTTTTATTTACATAGTTTCCCATAGTTAATTATTATTGGACAAATGAGCTGTCACTTTAACGGTTGCAAGTTATAAGAATCCAAAAATTATTGGTCAAAGAGAAAATGATGGTGGTGTAAAATATCTAGATATTTTAGTTTGTGTGCTCCAAGTTAGTCCTGTAGAGGTGAAAGCCTATTGCACACAGATTTATATTTAAAATTCCTATATATGTACAGATTGATTTAATGTTATGTACAAAGTATTGTGAATAATCATCCCAAACTCTCTTTGAATGTTTGATTGCACCCAACTGTTGAGAAATAATGAAAAAGATGGCCTCAAAATATCTGTCTTTATACAACAGAAGTCAGCTTGTCCTGTGAAGGTGCTTGATACAAAATGTACTATTGTCACATGGAATCACTGGTTTCAGATAAGGTGGGAAGAAATAATTTCCAAATCTAACTTAACCAATAGCACATAATCATAATTGTCTTCTAACTATGATGGTGTGTATATTGCAGTGCTATGGTGTACAGTTACACTACAGAGCTATATTATTTATAACTTCTACATAATGTATTCTGAGTCCTATTTTTAGCACTCTGGTAGTAATTTGATGTACTACATTGCAGTGCTAAGAGAGAGATTGTGCTTTCTGCTTTACAATTTTTAATCAGAAACCAAACTCCAGCACGTATAGTCACCAATTTTTAGGTCATTGTGAAAATACATAGATGGGTGGTAGAAACAAATTGTATCTTGAGTAGCTTTATGACATAAAAATGATTCTCGCTTAGGCTTTCATAAATCATTGCATGCAGGACAAATTACCACAACAGCACATAATCTATTCTTTATATATCCATCCCTTCCTCCCCAAAGTCAGTATTTATGAGATAAATAAAATATGCACATATAAATACAGAGTACCTGCAGACTTAACTTTCCTGTGGCTGCTTTCCTCTTTATTTGCCAAAGGGGAAAAAACCCTTGAGGTGCCATGAGATTTTTGCTTGTGTGACTGTAATTTCTTTGGTGGCGTTAATAAGCAATGCTGGTTATTACTGACATATCTAAGCTTCTAGTTTTGCCCATTTTATTAGAGGTGCTTCATCTCTTATATTATGAGTCTGAGAGAGTGGATTTGATGTGGATGAGAATTTATTATAGAAATTAGAGACTGCTTGCAAGCCTGCCTCAGTTTTATTTCTTGATTTATAATATGTTTGTTTGAATTTGTGTTGCAGCTAGGGAACAGAATTTTTTTTGTTTCTGCTTTTTTGAAGACCGTTTGCTGCAGAAAGTAAATAGGAAGGAATGTAACCATATTGCTTATCAGTATAGTGTCCTGAACAGCTAGGATGTAGAAATTGATTAGTTAATTTTTTTGTCACTGAAAAATATTGATAATTATTTTTGCTAGATTTAGGTAGGTAAGTAACAAGACATGCACACACCTCTAGTAAATTTTCAGGAAACACACTCACACTCACACTCACACTCTGAATCTGAAATATCAAGCTAGGACCTGTTAGATTTATAAAGAGTTTTTGATATTTGAAGAAAAGATATGGAGTTTTGGTTTCGATTATATGCATATAAAATATATTTTAAAATGCAGGGCTTTTGAACAAAATGTAATTGTTGTTCCATCCTCTCCTCCCCATCGTTTTGTTTTCCTCTGGCCTCTATAGGCTTGCTTTGTTGTTAAACTCCCTACTGAAGTGTTGTGTGTCTTGTTTTGAAATGGTAGGCTAATGCTTTTCTGTTGTAATAATAATCTTTGTGTTGGCTATAAGCCTAGCAGGAAGCCCTGTTATTTGAAAAATGAGAACTTTGTCCATGTTACTGTCTCCTTTTAAGCAATCAGGCATGCTAATAAAGATGCCTGATATACCTTAGTACACTAGCTCATCTTTTGATGAAATATAATGAGGACTTCAATTTTAATATTGAATAATGTCAATCTGGCAACAGGTGATTTAGTTCCACTGCCTAAACACATTGCAGGTTTGCCTAAGATTTTGTTTAATTTTCATTACATTCTCAATCAAATTAGCGTGCATCATTAAGAGGAGCAACAGAAGCCAAATAAAAAGCTCAGAGAAAGCCCTCCGCATTTGTGGAGGATATATTCTGGAGATATCTGCGAATGCCAAAATCTGCCAATACAGAGGTGAGGTGTTGGGGGTATTAGCAACACAAAACCACATTGTCAGAAACTAGCATTTTCTTGCCTGGTTGCTGACAACTGGTTATTAAACCATTTCAAATGTATACCTTCAAGTCAAAGGCACTGCCATGAGTACTCACATGGCCCCACAGTACGCCAACGTTTTTATGGCACACTTAGAACAACATTTCCTCAGCTCCCATCCCCAAGTATCCTTCTACTTCTTGTGCTACATTGATGACATCATCGTCTGGATCCATGGGAAGGAGGCCCTTGAAGAATTCCACTGAGATTTCAACAATTTCTACCCATTGTCAGTCTCAGCATGGACCAGTCTATACATGAGATCCACTTCCTGGACACTGCCGCACAAATAACTGATGACCACATAAATACCACTTTATTCCGGAAATCTACTGATCACTGTTCTTACTCCAGATTTCATCCAGAACGCAACGTCACAAGCTAAGCTAAGATACAACCACATTTGCTCCAGTCCCCCAGACAGAGACAAACACCTACAGGATTCTTATCAAACATACCTAAAATGACAATACCCACCTGCAGAAGTGAAGAAACAAATTGATAAAGCCAGGCGGATACCCAGAAGTCCCTTACTAGAAGGACAAATCCAACAAAGAAAGCAACAGAATGCCACTAGCCATTACCCTACATCCCCCAACTAAAATATCTCCTACACATCAAGGATCTACAACCTATCATAGATGATGATCCTTTGCTCTCACAGACCTTGGGAGGCAGGCTAGTCCTCACTTACAGACAGCCCCCCAACTTCACACACCACAACAGAAACACTAGTCCAGAAACCAATCCCTGCAATGTACTCCACTGCCAACTCTGCCATACATCCACCCTGACAGCAGCCCTATAGTACCTAACCACATCAGCTGTACCATCAAAGGTTCATTCACGTGCACATCTACTAATGTAATATATGCAATCAAGTGCCAACAATGCCCCTCTGCCATGTACACTGGCCAAACTGGACTGTCACTATGCAAAAGAATAAATGGACACAAACCAGACATTAAAAATCACAATGTACAAAAATTGGGTGTATGTGTTTTATGGTTTAAACTCCCTGGACACACAGTTTTGGACTTGAAAATTTCCAGGTAAAAAAAAACTGCAAGGAGAAATTGCTGAGTTGGAATTCATATGCAAATTTGACACTCTGAACCAAGGTCTATATGGGTATGTCTACACTACCCCGCTAGTTCGAACTAGCGGGGTAGTGTAGACATACCCATATGGGTGTATGTGTTTTATGGTTTAAACTCCCTGGACACACAGTTTTGGACTTGAAAATTTCCAGGTAAAAAAAAACTGCAAGGAGAAATTGCTGAGTTGGAATTCATATGCAAATTTGACACTCTGAACCAAGGTCTATATGGGTATGTCTACACTACCCCGCTAGTTCGAACTAGCGGGGTAGTGTAGACATACCCATATTGCTAATGAAGCCCGGGATTTGAATTTCCCGGGCTTCATTAGCATAAGCGGGGAGCCGCCA